CACTAGCGAGTGACCGATGTATTTCTAATGATGCTTCAGAAGGGTTAGAAAGATGAAATTTGGCACAAACATAGTCGAGTCTGTACTTTTGACGATTTAAAAAAACCTCAATTAGTGCATCTTTGGGCACCTACACATTTTTTGTTTTATCCACTTAGGCCTTAAGAATCTTGGGAATACTGTCAGTGCATAAGTAAGCAAATACTTGATGGGTAAATGGTCATATAAATAAATAAGTCCAGAGGCGAGGCTGTCCCGTGAACCCAAACGAATGCAACTCGTGCATGAACATTCACTCGTGCATGAACATTCACTCTGCATGAACATTCACTTTGCATGAACAACTCTTGCATGAACATTCACTACTGCATGAACATTCACTCTGCATGAACAACTCCTCCATGAACATTCACTCTGCATGACCATTCACTACTGCATGAACATTCACTCTGCATGAACATTCACTCTGCATGAACATTCACTTTGCATGAACAACTCCTGCATGAACATTCACTACTGCATGAACATTCACTCCTGCATGAACAACTCCTGCATGAACATTCACTCTGCATGAACATTCACTACTGTATGAACATTCACTCCTCCATGAACATTCACTACTGCATGAACATTCACTCCTGCATGAACAACTCCTGCATGAACATTCACTCTGCGTGAACATTCACTCCTGCGTGAACATTCACTCCTTGCGTGAACATTCACTCCTGCATGAACAGCCCTTACATGTTCTTCTGCATGAACATCTCATGCATGAACAACTGCTACATGAACATTCATCCTGCACGGTTGGCTCGCCTGCGTTTTGTAATAGTTTTTTTTATTGTTTTTAAGCTTGCCGACCTACTCTGCCGCCACTGCCACGTTTCTGGAATGGCGCTCGTTACATCAGCGCCGGGGGTTTGTGCTCGCTGGGTGCATTCTTCCGAGTGTACGCAACGACGCGGCTGCTAGCGCCGGTGCGTGTGCCGCCTCCTCCTCCTCCTCCTCCCTTCGTCGAGCGGCAGTCACCGCAAGTAATCGAAGGGGACTCCCGTCCCTACCTCTGCTTTATAACAATAATGATGATGATGATGAGACTAATGGCAGTTTTAACACGTAGGCTTTTGTAACCAATATCCATAATACAGTTCTTTTTTGGCTCGATCGCTCAAATATAAATGTGTGGTTTAACCCGCCACCACCCGACACAGCCAATTAGTTAAGTTTGTCACCTAAACAGAACATGCCAATTCGTGACTGGTGCAACACACCGGTGTGTTGGAGAGCAAAGCCACAACATTTTCCAGTGCCCTTTATTTAAGATTAAATGCCCTTTATTTAACGAGGAAAGCCTCACTGCTGCGCTTCTTGTGTGTGGCAGCAATGTGGTCAGGAGCTCGATGCTAACGTCGAGGTCTGCTGCTGCTGCTGGCCATGATGAGAGAGCTTCAGCAGAGAAAGAGAGAGAGTTTGTGTAGTGTCGCTGTTCCTCCTTCTCCATTAAAGGAGCGCAGAGTCCAGTGGTTTCCTATACGGTCCACAGTTTGGGTTGCATGGCCACAGTTGCACTTGTGTGGCTCGTCTGTAATTGTCCATAAATGGAGGAGATGTGCGGATATGCCTGCCCGTGCTCTGATGCGGTTGATGGTTCCACCAGTCTCCTCGAAGGACGTCAGAGCCTCACCGATTCTCAAGTAACGGGGGTGCTGCGTACCTCACCGGGTGTTCTCACGGTTATCACACCGTACCTGCGACACGGAGAGGTTGCCGGTTCGATTCGATCTCCCGGCGCGGCGGTTGAAACGATGGGGAAAGTTTCTTCAAATCTCCCCCCGCATCCGCCCCTGTCCACCCAACAGTGTAAATTCGGGAACCTGGCAGATAGTCCACCGGTCGGTGGCGTGCGGTGGGGCAAAGTGTGGGGCACTCGATGGCTGTTGGCTGGCTCAGGGGTCCGAGACGCTGAGCCGGAATTGCTGATTGCCCAGTATCGAATCCAGGATGTTTTGGTCGCTTCTAATTAAACTGGGTTCGCAAGCGTAGTGAGACGATGATGATCTCAGCAGAATTTCAGCTCTGGGAGTTGAAAAGCTTTGCTTGACCGCCGTGTGACACGCATTTCTTACGATAGCTCCTTCCGTGGGCCGTTCTCCCACGCGGGGTGATGCGCTTGCCCTCTGCGAGAGTTGTGAATGTACAGTTCTCCATCTAATAGCAATGGTGGCCATCGCACAATTGGAACAAAATTGCGAAAAAGTACAAAGATGTAAAAAAAACCCAACCTCACAAAATCCCCTTTAAAGCAAAATATGTTACAAAAATAACAAGCCATGAAAACATTTCAAAAGATGAAATGTTTTAAATATTTTGAACTTTTTTCCCACCTGCTCAACAAATCCCCCCACAGGATGCTCACAGACCCATCGGTGAAAGAAAAAAAAATTGACTTAGAATAATGTTGGCTTTGGCTGCAGGTGGCCAATAGATGACAGTACAGCGATGGATTCTTGACTCCACCGGTGTCACCTCCTCGTACGCATGGTGCGTTATTCAGGGTCCTCCACTTTCCTCCCAAACAAATCCAAACTCTCTTTTTTACAACTGTCCAAATATCCAATTGTAAGCACACTCTCCTCTGCATGTACATACGTTGGACTTCTTTCGCACCGTACGTAGCCAACTGTGCTGCTGATCGGAGGCTTTTCCTGGATAAAGAAAGGACACCGCTGCTCTCCGATCACCGTCGTTCGGCCCGTTGTCCGACGTTCCACTCCAGGTGCTGGGAGCTTCTTCAGGAACATCATCGTCGTTATGTACTTTTTCCTTCCCGCCGCAATAATCTCACGTAAATCTCAGGAGCTTCCGACTCGCAGCTCTGCATGCACCCGGTTTCGCTCGTAGCTCACGGGCCCCGGTGAGGAGCGATGATGGTGACGACGATGACGAATGAGTGGCGGGCTCCGGGAGCTGATGGTGCCGGTGAAGCGGGAGATTTTTTAAATAAGACGCCCCTTTCCTGTCGGCGTTCGTTCCGTCGCTTTGCGGGGCCGGGGATGAGGAAACGCGTCTCGGGCCGTCGGTGTTCTGCCACGCTCGGGGAGCTGCACGAATGAAAAATGTCTCCGAAGAAGAATTCCAGTGCACCGGGGTGAGTCACTAAAAACCAAAGAACATTAACACTGTATATATTTATACGTAAAATAACAGGAACACAACGAGGCAGTGTTGCGGCCCGGAACGTAGCCTCGCGAGACACGTGGGGAGACCAGGCCCAAGACGTGGGCGAGAGTGTGATGCGGGGATTGTCGTGGTTCTGTCAAATGAATCGATTGGCGGTGACCCGGGTCACCATCGTGACCCGGGAAACCAAAACCTCCATAACTCCGAAACCAGAAGGCCTATGAAGACGGGAGATGTCACTGAGCCTGATACGCACGCCAAATATGGAAAAAAAAAACGCACGCAAAACACCCATAAAAAAGGGGGGCTGGGGTATTTGTGCGAGGCAACGGCTGTTTATTGCTTTTCTAGATTTAAAGCTTTCGTGACTGCAAGGATCCATACTCTTTGGTTCTATTCGGTAAAGTCACGTGAAAAAAACTACAAAAAATAAAAAATAAAGATAAAAAACTAAATTCACGACGTTTCGGCCACAACACAAGTGGCCTTCATCAGGTGAAGGGACCGTGCTGTCATGAGGATAGCGTTGGAGTGAAAACAGCCAAGCCCAGGTGGCGTCCTTTAAGCTGTGTGGGAGGAAGCAAAACGCTTGACAAAGGAATTAGCATAAAAATTAGCACGATGTACGTAGGAGGGGTATGGGCCATGATGGACCAGGAGCGGGTAGAGTACTCCCCCCCTCCCCCCGGCTGCTGGTCCGTCATGGTCCCTACCCGCTCCTGGTCCATCATGGCCCATACACCTCCGACGTACATCGTGCTCATTTTTATGCTAATTCCTTTGTCAAGCGTTTTGCTTCCTCTCACACAGCTTAAAGGACGCGACCTGGGCTTGGCTGTTTTCACTCCAACGCTGTCCTCATGACAGCACGGTCCCTTCACCTGATGAAGGCCACTTGTGTTGTGGCCGAAACGTCGTGAATTTTGTTTTTTATTTTTTTGTTTTTTTTACGTGACTCTACCGAATAGAACCAAAGAGTATGTTTATTGCTTGTTTTGAAAGTGCATCAGGATGCTGGTCTGGTCATTCTCCAGCACGTTGTGCTTCTTACGGGGGCGGCCAACCCCCTTGTCTTTGGGAGCGAGTCCACTTGGAGGCAATGGCGTACCAGGCGCTCTCTTGGTACGGCCGGCGGTCACGATCGTGCTGGCGGGATCGACATCGTCGTGATCATCGCTCCCAGCGTCGCCCTCCGGCAGGACAGCGTGGTAGTACCAGCGATGCTCCCAGAAAAAAACCTTAAACTATGCCCGGCCCACCAATATTTTGCGGTGACCCGGGCTACCGCCAATCGATTCAAATGTAGCATTCTTTTGTAACCCAAAGCAAGCGCGAGCAGCGTCGTCGTCGTGGAGAAAACAAATAACAAAATAAATAAGCGGCCAATATTCCTCCTTCGCGTAGCTGCGCCTCCCCGACGTGTTTGTGTGCGTGGTTTACCCGCACGCGGACAGAAGACAAAGACACACACGGCAGTGGGGTGGCAGTGGCGTGGTCGGCGGCGCTGCGCTACGAACCCGACGATGACCGGAGGTCGATTCCCGCTCACGACCAACAACGGTGGCGAATATTTGAACTGGTCCTGGGCAGGGGGGGAGCCAGGATTTTCAGCCCGGGGTGACATTCAACAAATTTTAATTTCAAGAATGATTTAGAGAGTCAGGCTGTTGAACTAGACGCCATCGGTTGGCGACACACTCTGACAATGCAGTTGCACGGAGTCCGCCAGACCGAGTGTCGTACACTTATATGCAGAATGTTTCAGATTTTCGATTTTTTTTTCGGGGGTGACAATTGTCTACCCTGTCACCCCCCTGGCTCCACCCCTGGTCCTGGGCCTCCTCTAGCTTAACTCGGCCTTAAATTAGTGTGGTGGTGGTGTTGGTCACCCGATGCCTCGTGTGCCCATGCTAGCGTTAATAACAGGTGCTCGCTAACCGTAACATCCCCTCACGGCTTATTGGAAGGCTTTTCGGGGGGTCTTTGTCTTTGTCACTCCATTTTTTAAAATGCACAGCCACCATTGTCAGTAAAGCCACAACATCTGGCGCTGTGACCTCCTGCCAGCGAAGCCTTTGACACTTCACGTGACGGCCTCAAAGCGCACGGGGCCTGTGACAGGCGCCGTGGTGATATCGCCATCGCTTCATGGCAAACGTCGGCTGTTGTCGTCGTGTGTTTGAGCGGTGGAGCTGTGCAATGTTATACACAGCCCACTGTCAATCCACTGCTGGATGAGAGCCATCCCCTCGCTGTCAGTCATGGGGGTTGTTTGACCATACTTCACTGTACTGGTCAGTACGGGTTGGTGAAGCCGCTCTGGGAATGGCGGGGTGGGGGCCGCAGAACTGGTTCAGATATCAATTCTAGATTTGAAGCTTTCGTGACTGCAAGGATCCATACGCTTTGGTTCTATTCGGTAAAGTCACGTGACTCTACCGAATAGAACCAAAGAGTATGGTTCAGATACCACCGATGTTCGCCGTGGCACGGTATCGACCTCGGATCGTCACGTCCGTGGCGCAGTACCCTAACAGCTGTGCCACCACTCCACCGTGTATATATTTAGAAGTTGATATTCATACGTCATGTCACCACGGATAAAGCTCGCAGTGTTCACCTCAACTGGTGCGGAATTAATTCCCGAAAAATTTCGCTCGCACTTGCTCGATTGTCCTTTCTCAGGCGCCGTACATTCCTGTCTCCATGGTAACGGTCCACGGCCAGCATTTTAATACGGACGGGACGGACAAGCGGGCGTCCCGTCACGTCGTGCGGCAGTCAGGGCAAGGTTCGCTCGCCCGATTTGACATTCGTGCGATGATAAATAGTTATTTTTTTCGGACGCTCCACCCGAGTTTAGCCGTGACGCGGCGTTCGCGGGGCTAGATCTATCCCCGGGGCAGGAGGGGGGGTGGTGAAGAGCGGCTGGCTACCCCACTTGGTCAGAGCCGTGTGACAAATAGCCGGGCGTGCGGCATTGTGATGATAATGAGGTCGTGACCCTTGACCCCCGCTTGTGCCACCAGTCTGGCCCCTTCGGCAAAGTAGATATTGGTTCCTCCCGCGGCACGTTCCATTTCGCCGTGGCGAGGGGGGGGAGGTGCTGCAACCGCGTTCAGTACGTTACTGATTAAATAAAAAGCGAAGCACTTTGCTGGGATTTTCTGCTGCGTCTCCGAGCATGATGTCACACGCATAGATGTAGGCACCGCGGTTGAGTATTGCTTTCAATAATTAAATTGGCTCTTAAAAGTCCGAGGAAGGATTACACGTATAAACCCTTGAGTTGGTACAGCCCGCTAAGTCCCCTCTTAACTATAGCTTGAGTCTGTGCCATGTGTTCAGTGCAGTCACAGACAATGCTCCGGTTTTACAGTGACGACAATTGACAAGGCCAGCCCGGTTCAACAAATGCTGCTGTGGCGTGATAGTCACGTTTTTTTTTCAAACTCATTGCATTGACTGCGATCTTTTTGAAGCTGATGGGTGACGGCTTCACAGTGAAATGGTAAGAAAATAAAAAAACATTTGACATTTGTGGGGTTCTTCGGGGTGGTGCTCTGCAGCTCTCCGATGTCCGACGAACCGCTCCACCCGTTGGAGGCTTCTTCAGGAGCCGAAGAAGTATTTCCTGAAGAAGCTCTCTCTCGGCGCGTGGAGCGGAACGTCGTACACCGTGCCGAACAACTCGCGGCACATCGCGAAAAAAAACGTTCGAGAGCCGTGGTTTTTTTTGTTGCATTTCTTCAAATTGTTTTTAAAAGAAATTCTCTCGTGTGCCATCTCATGCGAGGCAGCGTTGATATCATTCCACTGCCGGATACCATCAAAGTGAAAGTAGGTTGCTCGTGTTCGCGTCGCGAGACTCCTTCCTCTTTTTCCTTTCCTTGACATTTTCGTTTTAAAAGTTTACGCTGCCGTCTGTCGGAGGAGGAGGAGGCAAGCCAGGTGTTTTTGTGCGAGCAGCTCTGGCCGTGCGGCGTTGGTGGGCAAGTGCGCGCGCATTCGCTTGAGACTCGAAATACAGTCGATAATTATTTTCGGTCGTTGTCTCCTTGAAAACATTTGCGTGATTTGTTCGTGTGTCCCCGTTTCTCTTGCGCTGCGGGCGACGCGTCGTGAATCTCCCGTGGGAGCAGTGCAGCCCTTCGAGAACGGCGGCCCACGGAAGTGGATATCGTTGAGCTACCTCTCGGGCCCTTTCAAGTGACCTCACACGGTAGAGAGGGGGCAGCAATTCCCCCACCCGCTTTGCATACGACAGTTGATGTTCACTGCGTGACAGCGCAAACCGATGTTTGAATGATCATAGCTGGAATTTATCCAAATTGAGGGCATAAACAAATGTAAAGCGGCGGTGCTTCTGTGCAGTCATTAGGGACCGAGCTGAGATCCTCATCTCACTACACTTGAGAAACCGGTTCAGTCGCGCGCGGCTGCAACCCCGATTCAAACCCCAGGATCTCTGCGGCACTCGTCCGTGCTCACGCGGTGTGCCCACCTCTGAGCCGCCGCCAGTTTTGGAGAATAATTGAATAGTTTTTTTGCTTCGCGATGCTACCAGACACGAAGGCTTTTTTCATGGCTTCTCCAAAACCTCTTTACCACAGTGACGCCGATGCAGCGGAGGTGTTGACGGAAAGTGGAAGGTGATATCTGGTGGAAGTGTTTTGTTTTTGTTGTTGGAAGGCGAGGGAGAGGGAGGGAAGGAGAGGAATAGAGATGCTACTGTTCCTGATCTTGTGACACAGAATTGCCAGCGGGGTAGGGGGATAGCTTGTCATGCCTGGGACGGTGATGCGGCACAGTGGTAGCCCGGGTGTGTTGCTCGTCGCAGAGGTTCACGGTTAGAATCCATCGGCCGCCCTGGTTAATACTGTGGTGTGTAATAATAATAATAATACTGTGTTACACGCCATCTTGCTTTACTCAGTGGATGTTCAAGATACCCTTGACGTCATTCTCAAGAATTGGCCACTTTGTGCCGGCATCAGGGTCTAAATTTGCCAAATACCAACATTGCCCGCGAGTTACGGAATTGGGATTGTACACACACATCATTGCCCCCTCCTGGCATGCCAATGTACCGGGTCACTCTTGCAAATGAGACTCATCCCGGTCTCTTGAGTTCTCATGCTGGTGGCACAAAATAAACTTGAAAGTTGAAACCCACGGTAATAACAATTGTCAGAGACAGCACCTTGACCACTGGTACCTTGGCGCGTGTCCGCCCATCTGTCCGGCCATAGACGTGCTGATGCCATGTGTTGCCCGGCATGATATCCGACGTTTTTCCCTACGGAGCTTCGTCAGGAACCAAACAACGCATGGCACAACTAGAAATATACCACACAGACTCACCAACACCAGCATTAAACTCACCACAGACTCGCCAACACCAGCACTAAACTCACCACACAGACTCACCAACACCAGCACTAAACTCACCACACAGACTCACCAACACCAGCACTAAACTCACCACACAGACTCACCAACACCAGCACTAAACTCACCACACAGACTCACCAACACTAAACTCACCACACAGACTCACCAACACCAGAACTAAACTCACCACAGACTCACCAGCACTAAACTCACCACACAGACTCACCAACCCCAGCACTGAACTCACCACACAGACTCACCAACACCAGCACTGAACTCGCCACATCCATGCAAACCACCAGTGACCCAGAAATTGTTCAATGAGAAATGAAGCCCTGGTCGGAGGCCACGGTTGTTGTTATCAGCCTGTGACTTCCTGGACAAAGGTCCCCCCCCGTTATCCTCTTCCAGTCCCTCCTTGTCCTCCAATCTCCGTGATGCCGCCTCGCTGCTGCTGCTGCTGTGCCTTCTGCTCCCTTCCTCTGCTTATGTTCCCTTCTCCGAGTCTCCACTCCGGAGTCGGGGTCCGTCTCTCGTCGTCAGTCGGGTGGAACTCGTTGTTCTCCCCGCGCCCCCGCGCCCCCACGCCTGTTTATTCACGAAGCGAGTTGATGCGCAGCGAGCGCCGCGTGAGTCTCCCGCCCACACCCAACGGCTCTCCCCACCACGTGCTCTCCCCACCGTGCGCTCCCCCCACCGTGCGCTCTCCCCACCGTGCGCTCTCCCCAGCCGCGTGCTCTCCCCACCACGTGCTCTCCCCACCGTGCGCTCCCCCCACCGTGCGCTCTCCCCACCGTGCGCTCTCCCCAGCCGCGTGCTCTCCCCACCGCGTGCTCTCCCCACCGTGCGCTCCCCCCACCGTGCGCTCTCCCCACCGTGCGCTCCCCCCACCGTGCGCTCTCCCCAGCCGCGTGCTCTCCCCACCGCGTGCTCTCCCCACCGTGCGCTCTCCCCAGCCGCGTGCTCTCTCTCCTTCTCAATGCGCCCTTTGTGAGTGCCGAGGGGACCACAATGGTCTCCTTTATGCGACCGCCGCCGACGACGACCGGTGCAGCGGCGGTGGATGCGGCGCGGCCGTTGTGCTAACGTTTAGAATTTACGTACGGGGAGGGCGGAGGGGCGGGGTCGGTCTTCGCAAACGCAACGTTTGAATGGAGCAGAGCAGACGGAAAGAGAGGGGGGGACAGGAGCGGTCCCGGTGTGTTCGTGTGTGTGTTCGTGTTTGTTGGTGGCTTCTGCTCACCGGCGGTGGCGTCACTTTGGCACCCCTGCTATGTGAGCGAGCTCATCACTGTCGTGGCGCGACCACCGCTGTGCGTGTCGTGGGGCTGCGGAAAACACCCCCAGCGCCACGAGATATGACGGCTAAGAGACAGCTTCGATATGTTCAGATCTGACCTAGAGACTCAACATGTTTGGACCTAAGAGACACCCACAAAATCCATGGTGTTTTTTGAGATTTTCTCCCTCAAGGCAACAACATTTGCTCATCATGATGATGACTGAACTGCGGTAATAAACATTTTAGCACGCGGTTGTTTTTGCGCCGGTTCCTGTTTGTTTTTTGCGCAGATTTCTATTCGCTTAATTGCTCTGCTTGTTTTGACTCTCTTGCTTTTGTGATTTTGTCGACCCGATGAGCACGGTTGGCTACGTGCGGTGCGAAAGAAGTTCAACAGAGTGGGGTTTTGTTTTTGTATTATCTGTGTTAAGGGATTGGCTAGTTGATGTGCAGCGTTGTGGGATGCAATTGCACGAATGACGCTCTATAAAATGAAATTCTTGTTATAGCATTCGTATGTACGTCCTCTTGCAAATGAGACAAAACTTGCGGCTCCCCCCCCCCCCCCCCTCGTCTCCCTGTGCTTGCGACGTCTATCACCCAGGTTCAATTCCTGGCCGTGGTGCACGTCGCAAAGTGGTCAAACGGAATCGGCCCTAGTGCTCTTCTGGGTAGACTCGGCCTGAAATAATAGATGTAAATGGTGCTGGGCTATCAGGCGGTCACCAGCTGCATTGCTGTGCCAGACTTAATAGGCGCTCGTGAACGGCATTTGCCTGTAAAGTTTGTAAGGCGCGTGGTTGAGAGAGTAGGTGGGGGGGGGGAGCTTGTTTGTCAAACAACATTCTTTGTGCAAGTGTGCACGCGGTGCGTTTGCGATTGTTACACTCACTGCCCTGAGCCAAGTGAGTGTTCACGACATCTGTATGTTGCTTTAAGCGTGAACCTAGCCTGTCACGGGCCCACCGCTGTCACGTCACCACCGGCCAGAGTTTGTGGAACGGCTGCTGCGCGAGTGATGGAGGGGGGTGGTGCGTGCGCGCTCATCTGTGCGGTGTTTTGCGTGTGCTTGCGTGCGTCTCTGCATGGGTCGACCTGCACTACGACCCCCGGAGGCCCGAGGTCAATTCCCGGCCAAGGCTCATGTCAGTGGCTATTATCTGAACCCCGGTCCTGGCCCTCCCATCGGGCGACTCGAGGACGAGCAACGGCGTGATTCTATTACGATCGCGTGCCATTTTAATCCCGCGGCCTGCGTTTCGCCGCGGTCGGCGACGTACGGCGCGAAAGAAGTTCGACACAAACATGGGAGTCGTCCCCGGTGCCGTGCGTAAACATTGGCACTGAAGGAGACAAAGGCGGCCGGGCGTGGGGCTGCCAAATCCACTTCCTCCTACGCCGCGACGACCTTCATAGGTGCTTGCTAGAGCGGCACTTGCCCCAACGGTCACAATGCCTGTGCGGGTGACCTTTATCTTTGTATTGATCTTTGTAGCTGTGCCCATGTTTGGCAAGGAATAGGCGGCAGTGTGGTGGAATACGATAGTGACCTCAATATCCGGAGATGGCTTGAGGACGAAAACCTGAGCTAATCCGTGTTTGTCCTTGTGTCTGTGCGTCTGTGCGTCCGTGCGTCTGTGCGTCCGTACGTCTGTGCGTCCGTGCGTCTGTGCGTCTGCGCGTCTGCGCGTCTGTACGTCTGTACGTCTGTACGTCTGTACGTCCGTGTGTCTGTACGTCTGTGTGTCCGTGTGTCTGTACGTCTGTGTGTCTGTGTGTCTGTACGTCTGTACATCCGTGTGTCTGTACGTCTGTGTGTCTGTGTGTCTGTACGTCCGTGCGTGCAGCTGGCGCCGTGAGCCGCAGCGCGCCGTCTCGCCATGGAGGCCGGCACGGCCGCCGTGTCCCTCCCCTTCAGTCGCGAAGACTCCGCCTGGTGAGCAGCGACCCATGTGTCGATCCCTCAGCTCGATGAAAGTCCGCCGATTGTGCTCACGAGCGCCCCCCCCCCCGCGCGCGGGTCGTGACGATCCGCACGCCGGACCTGCGATCCAGAGGTCGCCGGCTCGTGCAGGTGCTCGGTGATTTGCTAACATTGTTGGATCGTGGGTGATGACGACGTCTTGGGGAGACCTTCAGCCAGCAGTGGATTGATCACGTTCGATGATGGTGGTGATGATGACGGTGATGACAGCGACGTAGGGATTGGTGGCACAGTGGTTAGCTCGCTGAACTGCGAATCCAGCTTAACCCTTTCCCGTTCCAACCATGTACGTGCACTCGTCGATTTTTCTTCGATCACAAACGGAATCGGAAGTAAAAGGCCATGCGGGAGGGCGTGCGGCACAGTGTGGCGCCAGCGATCAGAGAGTGTGCGATCGCGTCGCTGCAGTTCTCTTTGGCGAGTGCAACGTCTTTACGGACGGCGGCGCTACTACGCCTCTCGTTGTAAAATTCACGCTGGGCCGCTTGCCCGTTCCGAGATTTGGCGGCGAGCGGGACGACGACCACCCACCCCTTAACTTGCGGACGTCTTGGAACGGGAAAGGGTTTACTGCATTCGACGACCAACATCAGCGCAAGCACGGTTTTGTAACGCATCGCGTCTGAAGAATGCGATCCGAGGGCTACATAAATAACACGCCGAAGATGACCGGTGCCCACCGCTAGCATAAAAGCGGGGGCAACCACCCCGGCACAAATGGACGGCTGCCGCGTTGGTCCCCGTGGGAACGCTGTGACGAGCCGCCCCCCTCCCCGAGGGCCACGTGGCGCTAACGGCAGATCTTGGGGAAGAGAGGGATGGAGGGAGGGGCCAGCATTGATCCGTAATGGCCGGCGCTAATGGTGACCTTGAGGCTGCCGGGCCGCACGGAGATGAGAGCGGTAATTGTGTAATCGATAGCGCTGATGCGGTGTCAAAGATCGTGGAGTGGAGACGGGCGGGCCGTCGGGCTTGCGAGCGAGTTGGTTTTAATGTCAGTCGCAATTATCGTCAGTCATCCCACCTGGCGGTTCAATATCATAATCAAATTAAACGTCATCACAATCATCGTAACCTCGCACCAGAATAATCATCTATCATCACCATCATCATCACCACTGTCCCTTCCACCACATTACACTCTTGAGAATCCCATTTTAATCATGGTCTGGCTCAAACATGGATTCGAACTCAGGCTGTGTCACTTTCGCTCGCTCCGTGTCTCTGACTTGAATTTTGCTCCCCAAGCCACCTGGCACTCCCCGAGCCATTGATTTACTTCAATTATGGGGTATGGTGATGGTGGTAACGGTGATGGTGGTGACGGTGGTGGCGGTGGTGGCAGTGGTGGCGGTGGCAGCGGTGTTTGTTGAGTTATTGAAGCAGCTGGGCCAGGATTGGGTTAGGAAAGAGCAGCACCACTTTTCACCCAGGCAACTGGAAAGCACAGACTTGGACAGTTCTTGACTTGTCACGTTAACAACAACAATAACAACAACAATAACTTCAAACAATTACATACATTTAAAAATGCCTCGCACTGTCTGGGACACTATTCCACTATTGAACGTGTGGTGATGGTGGTGATGGTGGTGTTGGTGGTGCTGCAGCTCGGACGCTAATCAACACAACCCCCACGACCCACACGGTGTGGAGAGGCCCTCATCCAGCAGTGAATTTGGATTGACAAGAGGGGGCGGTACCCACGTACGCGCGATAAGACGAGACATGCCGCCGTTGTCGTGCGACAGCTTGTGTTGACCCACATCTTGAATGGCGCGTGCGGAGGAGATCCGAGCTCGCGCACCGGGGATTGGTGGATCGTGCGGAGACGGAGCGACGACGTGTGATGCGGCTCGCCCGCAATGCGGTAGATGGTGTTTCTGACGGGGAGCGGTCCGTGCTGCGGAGAGGGGAGTGGTGGCGCGGCGGTCGGCGCGCTCTGAGCCACGCTGAGCCGGGCGGTGGTGGCCTGTCATCCAGCAACTGTTGAGGCAGCGAGGGTTAGCGGATCGTGCAAAGGTTGAGAAACTCCCTTTCGGTGGGCGTCGAGGAGGCGCCCTATCCTGGCTCGCCAGGAGAAGGCGGGCCAGCAAAGTGCCGACTAATATCATCTGTCCCTTCCGTATGGGATAGAGCGTTGTCCCCTTGCACGTGTTGGTTTTCTCCAGGTGCTCCGGTTTCCTCCCACGTGATTAAACACTCATGAATTGGCTGAAAACGTCTTAGTATACGTAGAGGACTGCAGAGCTTGGATGATTGTTGGTAGCGCCGGCTCACTGCGTGGCTGCCCCGTCTGCGCTTCCTCAGCGATTGTGAGATGCACTTTGCACGGGCGACGAAGCGATATGAAACTAAACGTTATTAAACACACGGTAGAGTGCAATGTGTGTGGACTTATAAAACGGTGTGTAAATGTGACCGCATCTAAAGACAGTGGACAGGAGCGGTGGGTATGTTTATTTCATAGACAGATGGAGTCATCGAGTCTCTGTGTAGCTTTACGAGTCTGTCTGTCTCTGGGCATGTGGGATATGTCAGTCCAGTGGTCTCTTGTGTGAGTCAACATGGTACAATTTTTATTTATTTATACAGCGTCTCAATGTGACCGCATAACAAACACTGTGCAGACACAGTGGGCTTATTAATTTGATACAGAGGGGCAGTCGTTGTGCTTCATGTAATTCTATGGGTCTCAATGTGTGCCTATTCTGCCTTATTTAAGTCTATTGGTATGTATGTGTATCTATGGGCCTCTATGTGATTTCATGGATCTTTGTGTGAGTCTATGGTGCTCTGTACGATTTTATGGCTCTCTGTGAGTCTGGATCTGTACGTGTCTATCGGTCGCTATTATTGAGTGCATCTCTACAGGAGTCTATGGATCTCTTTGTTAGTCTGATATTCTGTGCGAGTCTGTGGATCTGTATGTTGTGTCTATGGGTCTCTTTCTAAGCAGATGGATATCTGTGCGAGTCTCTGGTTCTCTACGTGGGTCAGTACACTGCAATGTGGATTCAATTGGTTGTTTAATTGCGACCGCATCTCATGATTATCGGGGTTTTTTTCTGGCTTTACTCTGAGAATACGGCGCTGGGGTAGCGACACGCGGTCGTGGGTAAGATATGCAAATAGCACAAATCCAGAAATTGCAGGGTTTGTAAGCCCCCGCCTAATCTAATCAAACGCTGAATCGGGGACCCAGAAAAATACGCCAACGCTGACCTAAAAACGGAGACGTTCAAAGCGGTGTGAGCAAAAGATGACGCTGTGAGGCCACAACATCATGTTGAGGTCGAGTAACAGATCTGGTGGGAGGAAAACAAAGTGCAGAGGATGAACACAATAATGGAAACAAAATCGCATGCTTTTAGTGATCAATTCAATAATAATAACGTTTAACACAGGCTTTCGTGACCAATATCATCCATAATATAGGTTTTTTTTGGGTTTGATCGCGTAAATATAATAAATGTGTCGTTAAACCCGCCACCACCTGACACAGACAATTAGCAAGTTTTGTTAAATAAACAGAACATGCCAATTCATTACAAGTACAGCACACCGGTGTGTTGGATTTGCTCTCCAATTTGCTCTCCAACACACCGGTGTGCTGTGCTAGTAACCAACTGCACGTTCTGTTTACGTGGCAAACCTTACTCGCTGGCTGTGTCGGGCGGTGGCGAGTTTAACGACACTTTTATATTTACGCGATCTAACCCCAAAAAAACCCGATATTATGACTAACAATAACGATTGTAACCCTGTGTTTTATTCATCCAAAATTCCTACGATGGCGCAATCACCCAAAGTGCCTCTGATCTCACCAGACAGATCCCATGCTAAGCTGAACAACTGAACGAAAGGCCAACATGCCTCGTCAATAACACCGTGCATGTGTGGCCTGACAAAGGGATTTTTTAAAAATATAATATATAGAATGGGTGACGTTTCGGGCAATGGCCCTTCTTCATGGTGGTGGCCGGGCGGTGCTGACTATGCACGTGGCCTGGAATCCAGCACTGTGGAGACAGCAAGGGTTGGTGGATCACACGAAGGTTGTGAAACTCCCTTCCCGTGGGTGTCGAGGAGGTGCCATACCCTGGCTTCATGGGAGAAGGCGGTACAGTGAGTGGACTAATCGCCATCCGTTTCCATCTGTACAGGGATAGAGCGTTGCCCCCTCGCGCAAGGTGTGGGTTTTCTCCGGGTGCTTTGGTGTCCTCCCCACTTGTATGTACAACTCAGAAATTGGCTGAAACAAAACAAAATCGTAAAATAAAAACCAATGTGGCTGGCTTTCCTGGATAAATAAGCTAATTTCATTTCTTTACAATGTAATTTTAATTCATAGCACAAGCATAAAGGACGTTTGAGTGTGGATAGTACTTGGATGGCTGACCGGCATGCGTGAAACGCGGTTGCTGTAGGCTTCTGCTGCTGCTTGCAGGGTGACGTGTGGCGGGTAACGATAACGTCTGGTTTGTAACACGGAAAATATTTGTCCAGCGATTTGCATCTGAGGGGCAGGGGGCCAGTGCAGCAAACTCCCACGTTGTCCTTGTACTTTCTCTGAGACTCAGTGAGGCTTTCCTTGATAAACAAAGGCATTGGCTATAATTGTTACTTTGTTTGTCCCCCAATAAGATTCGTTCAGTTTACTCAGCAGCTCAGAAGCACCCCGGTGATATCTCCAGGCTTGTGGCCGCTCACCACAAATGAGATGATGAGGAAGGGCTGCGCTCTGGATACGGCGTCGGCTGCCAATGTGAGGAGTAATCTCCGGCTCGGTATTTTTTTGGTGTTCGTCTTCTTATTAGGACCTCTGCCCTCATTGTCGAGCGGCGGTCCTGCGCTGTTGGCTTCCGTCCGTGAAGTGCCGTTGCCCGATCGGGCCACTTGGCTCGCTCGGATTTCTCCGCCGTGTTTGCTACCTCAATCGGCAGAAAATCCAACCCGATCATATTTATACGGTGACATTTTCAACAGATGATGATGCTCGTCTTTTCAACAAACTCTTGACAACGTTGTCTTTATCTCCTCTGCCACCTCTCCTACACAACCCCCACCACCCCGTGTCCTCTCCTGCCTTCCACCGACTTCTTGATTGGCCTTTGCCCCCCCCCCCCCCCCCCCCCCCCCCCCGAACGGGCGACCTTCTGTGACCCCTGCGCAGCCGGGTGAGGCGGGCTCCGAGCCGGCCGGCGGAGGATATGGCGAGCGAGCTGCACCCGTTGTGGAAGATTCCGTCGCGGGAGCGGCTGAGCTGCGACGGTCTCGACACCGTGGGCACGTCCGTGAGTTCCATCACCCACAAATCCTACGACTCTGTTTACCTCTTTTTCCACTGGCACAACTGAGCTGTGCCGTCGGCTGGGCAAAGCCCCGACCGGCGTGGCTCAGGACGCGCCTGGTTGTTTTTCCACTGCGGGATATCGAGCCGTTCCGCCGACGACACGCGTGTGAATGACGAGGCGACACCGTGTACTCGTGGCGTACCGACTGATCTCGCGCGCGATGAAACCTGTCGGTCGGTCCCGTCCGTGGCCCTGCTTGGCCGCCCGAGCCAAATTTCACCGTTTATTCCTGGCTCAGCATCGCGCAGAAAATCGCCAGTGGCCAGCCACTCGTACCCCGTGAGGTTTCCTGAGCTGGCTTGGCTTGAATGTTCCCGTGGATAAGGGGGTCACAGTACTCAAGATTTGGGGACCAAGGGGAAAGACCTAAAGCCAGATGGTGGTGGTGAGACTTGAGGTCGGGTGTCGATTGTCAAGCAGCTACAGGATCTAGCATATGAACGGATGCGACGGTGAGGTGTGGGAGCTGCGACGACCTCCCGACGTTGACCTCGGGGAGAGAGAATACTCCGAATCGAACCCCGACGGAGATTTGCGAGCCGCGCGCTCTACCGACCGTGGCACGTGGCAAGAGGCGCCGCACTGGTGTTGTTTTCGAATCTGGACGGTTTATGTGCTCCCCCCCCCCACCCCGCTCCTACCCCCCGTGTCCGTGAGCACTGTGGGGCAGTGGCGCGTTCTTGTCGCAGAGGTTCACTCGCGGTTCAAATGCAGCGGCCGCCCCTGGTTAACACTGCGGTCGTGTGCGCGTTCGCCATGCTGCTGCCACACGCCATCTACTTCGCAGTGGACGTTACAGACCGCGTGGCGTTGCGGGCGAGGGGGGAGGCCATTGTGTCGTAGTCCAAAGTCGGTAAAGTTAGGCTACAAATTTATTTCGTTGGGAATCTACATCGCAAACATCCCCACCCCCCCCCCCCCACTGCGAATATTTAACCTAAACTATTAACTATTTAGTAAACCTGGCTAGAACTCTAAAATTAAACGAAGCTATATTTATTTTACCAGGTGAGGCCCACTGAGCTATATAGATATTTTTCGGAAGCGACCTGGCCACAAATGATAGCTCAACAAAGTGGATTATCACGTGGATATGTATCGCAATGAAATACTCTAAACACGTGGATGTTGATTCTAAATGTGGAGGGAAAACCCGGAGAGCTCTGAGAAAAATCCACGCGACCGCGGGGCAGAGAAACGTGCAAACTCCAAATATACAGCAGGCGTCAGGGTTGGGATCGAACTCACGACCTCCTGTACACCAGGCGAGGTAGTTAACATCTCGCCACTTGGCAGGACCCTCTTGAATAAGAGTTTTGGTTAAACAAGCTGTGGGGCAAAAGAAAGAAACGACGAAGTACATCTGGAGAAGCTGGGTGCACCTCGATAACACCAGGGGGGCACCAGGCGACTTAGTGGGTTCACCGCTGAGGACCTGGGTTCAAATCCGGGTTTCAGCTCCTAGTGATTAAGCTTGCACCTGAAGTGCATGGCCTGCTGAGCAAAGCCTGCCAAAAAAAAACCCCAATTGCACCAGGATTGCTTCGTCATTTAAATTTGTTCATATTTTCTGAGAATGACAAATGTTGGATTCGTTGAAATGCGACACTTTTTGCAGGGCATATAAATATATTTTATTTTAAGTGCCAATAAAAAAAGCTTTTAACCTCGTGTGCATAAGAGGGTACTCAAGATGACCCCACAATTAATGTCGTAAGCTCATTTTTCTAGGCCAATCTCATACACGAGGTGGTTCACCTCTAGCTGCGTGAGTTTCTGATGGACATTTATTTCTCTCACAGAACAATACAATTTGTATGTATATAGCTTCGTCTAAATGTCACCACATCTCAAGATGCCGTACAGCAACAGTTTTCATTATTGCGTAGACAAAGGCAGCTTTGAGTCTACAGTGAGGGAAGAAAGTATTTGATCCCCTGCTGATTTTGTACGTTTGCCCACTGACAAATAAATGATCAGTCTATAATTTTAATGGTAGGTTTATTTGAACAGTGAAAGACAGAATAATAACAACAAAATCCAGAAAAACGCATGTCAAAAATGTTATAAATTGATTTGCATTTTAATGAGGGAAGTATTTGACCCCTCTGCAAAACATGACTTAGTACTTGGTGGCAAAACCCTTGTTGGCAACCACAGAGGTCAGACGTTTCTTGTAGTTGGCCACCAGGTTTGCACACATCTCAGGAGGGATTTTGTCCCACTCCTCTTTGCAGATCTTCTCCAAGTCATTAAGGTTTCAAGGCTGACGTTTGGCAACTCGAACCTTCAGCTCCCTCCACAGATTTTCTATGGGATTAAGGTCTGGAGACTGGCTAGGCCACTGCAGGACCTTAATGTGCTTCTTCTTGAGCCACTCCTTTGTTGCCTTGGCCGTGTGTTTTGGGTCATTGTCATGCTGGAATACCCATCCATGACCCATTTTCAATGCCCTGGCTGAGGGAAGGAGGTTCTCATACAAGATTTGACGGTACATGGCCCCGTCTATCGTCCCTTTGATGCGGTGAAGTTGTCTTGTCCCCTTAGCAGAAAAACACCCCCAAAGCATAATGTTTCCACCTCCATGTTTGACGGTGGGGATGGTGTTCTTGGGGTCATAGGCAGCATTCCTCCTCCTTCAAACACGGCGAGTTTAGTTGATTCCAAAGGGTTCCATTTTGGTCTCATCTGACCACAACACTTTCACCCAGTTGTCCTCTGAATCATTCAGATGTTCATTGGCAAATTTCAGACGGGCATGTATATGTGCTCTCTTGAGCAGGGGGACCTTGTGGGCGCTGCAGGATTTCATTCCTTCACGGCGTAGTGTGTTACCAATTGTTTTCTTGGTGACTATGGTCCCAGCTGCCTTGAGATCATTGACAAGATCCTCCCGTGTAGTTCTGGGCTGATTCCTCACCGTTCTCATGATCATTGCAACTCCACGATGTGAGATCTTGCATGGAGCCCCAGGCCGAAGGAGATTGAGAGTTCTTTTGTGTTTCTTCCATTTGCGAATAATCGCACCAACTGTTGTCACCTTCTCACCAAGCTTCTTGGCAATGGTCTTGTAGCCCATTCCAGCCTAGTGTAGGACTACAATCTTGTCCCTGACATCCTTGAAGAGCTATTTGGTCTTGGCCATGATGGAGAGTTTGGAATCTGACTGATTGATTGCTTCTGTGGACAGGTGCCTTTTATACAGGTAACAAGCTGAGATTAGGAGCACTCCCTTTAAGAGTGTGCTCCTAATCTCAGCTCGTTACCTGTATAAAAGACACCTGGGAGCCAGAAATCTTTCTGATTGAGAGGGGGTCAAATACTTATTTCCCTCATTAAAATGCAAATCAATTTATAACATTTTTGACATGCGTTTTTCTGGATTTTTTTGTTTGTTATTCTGTCTCTCACTGTTCAAATAAACCTACCATTAAAGTTATAGACTGATCATTTATTTGTCAGTGGGCAAATGTACAAAATCAGCAGGAGATCAAATACTTTTTTCCCTCACTGTATAAGCACCTTTTTAAGCTTGTTGGTCTCCATGTGAGTCTATGGGTCTATCTATGAGTATATTGGTCTCTGAGTCTCTGAGTCTGTGAGTCTATATGTCTATATGTAAGTCTATGAATCTCTGTGTGAGTCTGTTGATTTCTATGTGAGTCTATGGGTCTGTCTATGAGTATATTGGTCTCTGAGTCTGTGAGTCTATATGTCTATATGTAAGTCTATGAATCTCTGTGTGAGTATTGATTTCTATGTGAGTCTATGGGTATCTGTGTGTGTCTCTGGTCTTTGTGTGAGTCGGTGAATCTTTGTGCGAGTCTATGGGTCTCTTTGCGAGTCTATGGATCTCTGAGTGTGTGCTGTCTAAAGGTCACAGCTTCTCTGATGTAGCCAAACATGAAAACAACCTCTAATTAAGGAGATGCCCCTCGGCACATGATGATTTTTAAGATAATTGTGTCGGTAATCAGGCTATTATGGTAAGCAGACCATTAAGCCCTTCTGGAACGTTGATACAATTTTCACAACCATGATTTTATAATTACCAACCCAGTTATCTTCAAAATTATATCAGTTGTCTTTTTTATTCTGTGTCCTTTTTGGTGACCTCCATCTCACTCTTGCAAATGAGACTCATCCCAGTCATGTGGAGTTCTCTCACCTGGTTCAACAAAATCAACTCGCGACATCCGGCCCCAACTGCTGCCCCCACAACTCCGATTGCACAACTGAGATGATAAAAAAATATACGCAAAAATATTAATGAAAACAGCCGGCTTTTCCTCACGACAGCCCTATTGCTCCCGCGCAGACCACCAGCCCGCCCGCTCGCTCGCTCGCCCGCCCTCTCTCCCTCCCTCTCTCCAGCGACCGCCACAACGACAACAGCTTCTGTTTTATTCCTTCCCCCACCGGTCCAACCGCCGGCACGGTTCCCCCGGTGGCCCCGTCGTCGTAAAGGGCACTTCATGGGAAGCGGCGTCCAGGAAGGGCTTTTAAAAGCGGCCCTATAAATCTTAGCCGCCCCCGCCGCCTTTAGCCCAAAGTTCCCCCCTGCGGCAGGTTAACGTCGGGGCGGGCGAGCCAACGAACGAGGAAGGATGGGCGAGCGGGCGGGTGGGGGGGGGAAGATGGGCAAACGATTGAGCGGTGACCCCCCCCCCTACTCCTTGCAGTGGTGTTGCTGGCCCAGTGGGAGCCGCCCCCCCCCCCCCCCCGAGCGTACATTATGTTGAGGGCCTAGAACACTTTTCAGTGGATTAAATGCGAGTGAGGTTGACCGTATACATCCGGACAGGGGAAAAAGTTTTTTTAAATCCCGCTGTAGAAACGCAGGGAAGGGGTGGAGTGGCAGCGAGGGGATGGGGAGCGATTAATTGGCTCGTTTATGTTCATCGGCTTGTCACGTTGACGACCATTTGTGAATGCAAGCT